TTTTACGAAAAGCAATCACAGGTAAAATATTTTTCAAAATTAAGCTCAGGATAACAATACCTTTTGACTGATATAAAAATTTCCGTCAAAAATGGCTAGTTAAAAAGTCGAAATTTGTCTGAAGAATAAAAAACCCACCCCGAGCACAAATATTCCGTTATTTTTGTATCGAAAGTCGGAACAATAAGAACGATTTCTTTGACGGAATAAATCTCCGCTTACGCGTTAAAAGCGCTCATTGTATCGCGCGTTAATTGTCACAAGTTAGATTGTCACAAGTTAATCTAGAGCACGGCCAAATTGACAATTTTCAAACTCTCAATATTTGTCAAAAATTAATCGGAAGAAAAATTTCTTTTTAAATTTGATTTTGGGGAGTTAATATCTTCAATGGGGCGTAAGATTTTTTTATCGTTTCGCAAAATAAATCGTTTTTCAAAAAGTGATTTTAAGCTATGCTTTTGCTTTCTAAGTGTTTCCCGACTGCAGTTTTTCTTGACACTCTTTTCTTTCAAAATGCTCTCAACCTCAATACTTTTACAAGCAAATGGTCTTTGAAGCACCTCTTATATGTGGACACCTACATTGGCCAAAATTGATTCCGCCTTTATGTAAAAATGAACGGAAACCATGTTAAGCATTGCACATATTTCATTGTGAACATGCTCAGCCAATTTGAAAGTTCATTGAATTTAAAGAACAGGCGTCATCATTTAAAGAACAAAACATGGAAATCTGAAAGTGCATCAATTTAGAACAAACCTTAGAAATTGGCGATGAAATAGCTATAGAAGCGAGTGGTTGTCACCCAAAATACATCAAATAACTTCACTCGGTAAAATATTTTCTTTTGGCGTCATCAAATGTCGTTTAAAGAGATGAGTCAAAAGCACCGCGGACTCCGTTTCAAGATGATGGTTTCCGCTTTTAATTTTTTGAGGAGACTCATTTATCAGCATTCTGGTTTGTAAAAAAAGTACAAAGTTTATAAACACAAATCATTATTGTATTATAATTTAAAGTTACCAGCCGATACGAACAGGCAAAAAACATGACAAGGAAAAAAGAACTTGAATATAGTTTATCGTTGCGAAAAAGAGTCGATAAACTGAGCTTAAAATTTTTTAAAACGGTGATGGATGCACCAGGAGTAAGATAACGAATGAATTGAGTTTTTTCACCTTTTTTGGTTTGTGTGATTTTCGTTGTGATCAAATTTCGTAGGGTTATCGAGTTTTGAAAACTGCTTGCTTGGCCAATTTTAGAAAATTATTGAGATAATTAACGATTGATAACTTGCGTTCTTATAACACGCGTAAGCGGCGGATTAATGCGTTCCAATTTAAAATGAGGCAAATCATTTGGTCTTATTATGAAGATGCAAGGCACTAAATTTTACCCTACTATGGCTTGAGAGGGGATAAGTTGAAACAAAAATGAAAAAAAGTTCTTTTTTCTTGTTTGTTTTCTTTTCTCCAGTTTCAAAACCAAAATTTGTCTTCGCCTTAAAATAAAATCAAAACATTCAGTGCTTTGCCCTGGGATAAATGCAGTCTTGTTTTATACTAAACTTTCACAAGACTGTTCGTTCAGAGCAAAGCGAAGGTCTATGCAGCAGTAATAAAATGAAAAAATTTATGTAATAAAAAAAAGATAAATTTTTTGTCTTTTTTGTGACTTTTTGTACGCGCCATATAAATTACAAAGTCATAGGTTTTGCTCCTAGTAACAAATACGTTATGGCAAAGATTTCAAATAAGAACGATTTCTTTGACGGAATAAATCTCAGTTTGCGCGTTAACAGCGCTCATTATAAGAACGAGCAAGACTGCTCGTATCAGGGGGCGCAGCCCTGAATGTTCCGACTGCCTTTTAAGATTTATGGAGCAGCAGTAATAACATAAAAAATTAAATGAAATAGAAGAAAATGATTTTTTTTCTAAAATTTGAAGTTTTTTAATGAAAATCATCCCCCACACGCCATATAAAGTACAAAAAGATAGATTTCGTTCCTTGTAACAAATCAATTATGGCAAATAAGCTTCTTTCAACCAATTTGGAACGATTTAAAAGACGGATTAAATCTCAGCTTACGCGTTAATAGCGCTCATTATATCGCGCGTTAATTGTCACAAAGTGGCCAAAACGGCAATCTTTAAACCCCAATAATTTTTACGAAAAACTATCTTTTCAAATTCAAGCTCAAGTCAACAATACCTTTGGAATGATATAAAAAATTCCGTCAGAAATGGCTAGTTAAAAAGTCGAATTTTGTCTGAAGAAAAAAAAACCCACCCCGAGCACAAATATTCCGTTATTTTCGTATCGAAAGTCGGAACAATAAGAACGATTTCTTTGACGGAATAAATCTCCGCTTACGCGTTAAAAGCGCTCATTATATCGCGCGTTAATTGTCACAAAGTGGCCAAAACGGCAATCTTTAAACCCCAATAATTTTTACGAAAAACTATCTTTTCAAATTCAAGCTCAAGTCAACAATACCTTTGGAATGATATAAAAAATTCCGTCAGAAATGGCTAGTTAAAAAGTCGAATTTTGTCTGAAGAAAAAAAACCCACCCCGAGCACAAATATTCCGTTATTTTCGTATCGAAAGTCGGAACAATAAGAACGATTTCTTTGACGGAATAAATCTCCGCTTACGCGTTAAAAGCGCTCATTATATCGCGCGTTAATTGTCACAAGTTGGCCAAAACGGCAATCTTTAAACCCCAATAATTTTACGAAAAACTATCTTTTCAAATTCAAGCTCAAGTCAACAATACCTTTGGAATGATATAAAAAATTCCGTCAGAAATGGCTAGTTAAAAAGTCGAATTTTGTCTGAAGAAAAAAAAACCCACCCCGAGCACAAATATTCCGTTATTTTCGTATCAAAAGTCGGAACAATAAGAACGATTTCTTTGACGGAATAAATCTCCGCTTACGCGTTAAAAGCGCTCATTATATCGCGCGTTAATTGTCACAAGTTGGCCAAAACGGCAATCTTTAAACCCCCATAATTTTACGAAAAACTATCTTTTCAAATTCAAGCTCAAGTCAACAATACCTTTGGAATGATATAGAAAAGTTCCGTCAAAAATGGCTAGTTAAAAAGTCGAGTTTTGTCTAAAACAACTACCCCAAGCACAAATATTCCTTTACTTTCGTTACGAAAGTCGGAACAATAGCTCGAGTTATTCAAGCGTAGATAGTTTTTCAGCACTCTTGGAATTTCTTGCGCCTTTGGAAAAATTGGAATTTTTTGCGCTTTAATCTCCTAAATGGGCCAACGCAAGTCAAAATCATTTCTCTGTAGCTTCATGGCAAGCAATTGAGGCAGTTTAATTGTTTTATATTCGAGTCCAGTTCATCAGATGGTATAAAAGAATATGTCCAAAAACGCTGACTGAAAAATCAAATCAGTCTGACAAGGAAACCACCCCTAGTTTTCATCCTTTCATTTTCTTCGAAAGTTGGAACAAAAAACAGCTCAGTAAAATCTATAATTTAATCAATTTGATGTAAAGTTCATTTTTTGCTCGCTGAAATAAAAATTGGAACAAGATCGGAGTTTTTGCAAAGTATTTTTTTTATTTTTGTTTTATTTTCAATGAAATTTCGGAATTCTTATGCTTGGCGTGGTTTTTTTATTCAGTCAATTTTTGACTTCTTAATAAAGCAATTTCTAATGAATTTTTTTGAATAATATCTGTGAGACAATGTAAATTTGAGCTCAAATTTAAAAAGAAGTTTTGCCTGTGATCATTTTTTGCAAAGTTAGGGAGGATTGAAAGTTGCTACTTTGTTCAATTTGGAATAAACAAAATTTTTAATTGATCTTAAAGTGCAGTCGGAACATTCAGGGCCTCGCCCTAATATACGAGCAATCTTCTTTAACATGCATGCCTCTAAACACACTTTCAGTATTAATATACTTTTAATAAAACTCCTGATACTTTTTCAACATCTTCTGCGCTACTGGTTTAATTTTAAACGTGATGGTTTTTGATCTTTCTATATCACAGACGTACACAATCAAAATGATGGATTTTTTTTGGTGGAAATTGAGCTATTGTTTCTATATTGAGGGCGGAGGGGACTTGCTGTTCTTTTGCGGTCCACTAATGGAGTAGGAGGGTGCATATACAAAACAGTCCCATACAAAACAGTCCCATACAAAAGAGTCCGAAACATCAAAAAAAGGTTCTAAAAAACAGTCCCATACAAAACAGTCCAAAACCAGTTGAATTTCATGACCTTGATCTTTTGGCGCCGACCGAATTGATCTACGCTTTGAAAACTCAAACAGGGGCAATTAAAGATCAAAGAGCCAAATTTGGAACAATAATTTGGATGAAAATCAAAGGATTCATGGTATAGTGGTTAAAGCGTTAGTCTCAAACTCTAGAGATCAAAGGATCGAATCTCCGGCGGCACAAAAAATTTTCCAATTTTCCGAAAAAAGTTGAAATTCGGGTAAATATGATAACGGGTATATCTAGGGTACAACAAAGGGTTCAACCTTAGAGGGTTGGGCGGAGGGAAAAGAAAAATCAACACCTTGTATGTATTCATTATTTTGCCGGTTTCAAATCGACCCTAGCTCAACTTTGAAAAATCAAGGAAATTAATTAACTTGGAAAAATTTTATTGCTTGGCAATATGGAATAAATGTGAAAATTAAAAAGAAAAGAAAAGTCTGATTATAATTTAATATTACAACTGCATCCTTTCAAAAACCCAATGATATCGTTGGGTTGATATGACTTAATCATAGTGATCAAGTTTTTGTCGAGTTTTTGGTATTTAGCTTTTTTGGGTCTGGCTACTTTTTGTCCTGCGCACATTTTTTCCAACAGTATTTCCGCGTCTTTTTTGCTCGTCCTGGAACTTCTCGATCAGTTTTGGGAATGATGGATGCTTACTATTGACCAGTTTTACGAAGTTGCTGTTCCAACCTTCTACAGCGTTGTTGGTGCGGGGAAGGTCGTTTTTTACTCTTTGATGGCAACTCCATTGCTCCATATCAAATCTGGGCTTCTGTCGTCCTTGACGCGTTTTGGGGAATCAAATTTAAGAATACTGAGAAGGCGACAATAAGTTGATTCCTTTTTGTCGGGTAGCAGAGCGTAAACAATAGGAATAAGGCATCCTTCAACAGAAGCGTGTATAGTATAAATCTGATAGAAAACATTGGGAGCAGTCGAAAACGTTCCATCACAGAACCAATCATCCGATAAAGATAGTAAGTCTAATCCAGGTAACGTGGCGAACACAATAACCCGATTTTCATCTTGGGGACCAGAATCGTTAAGAAGGAACTGCTCTCCATCGTGGGTTTTCTGTAGAGCCAGTGGTAGTTCAAAGCCAGTCAGCGATGTTGGCTCTGCCATCTTTGGTCTTTTTTCGCGTCGAACTCTATTTACAGCTTGCTGATTAGCAGAATAACTAGGTAAATGAACAGCTGTTTCTCGGTTCACATCACGTTGAGCTGCGAAAATAGTCTGTCGCGGTGTTACATCGGATACTGCTGCTCGATCTTTAAGTGTTTTTCTGAACTTACGTTTTTCGATGTCAGCTGGATCGGGGAAGTGGCAGTGACCTTTAACGATCTCAACGGAGTCGTCCTTTGTACGCACACGGCCATTGCAGCTACTTTGTCCGCAGCGCCAGGAAAGGGAGTTGTCTGCCAGTGTTCTGTGTTTAATATAAGCATACCCTTCAAAAATCAGTAACTCAGAATTTTTGTTTGTAAGTATGATTTCCATCGATAGATAGTGAATTTCGTTTTTATTGAGTGTTGTCAAGTGTTTGCAAATGAAACAGATTGAACAACCTGTCTCTTTTTGCTTAGATTAAAAAAAGAGTCCACTTTCTTAAATTGCGTTAACTTTAATGTTTCGAAGATTATTGCTTTTATTGAGTGGCCGCTGATGTTATCTAGGTTGTTATAATTTCTCTACTATAGTACCTATTGTTATCCGGATTAGTTGGTATCAAAATGTGTTTAATATGAGATAACTTTACTTATCAGCTTCTAGAACAATTATCACTTCGATCAATGGGACTGTTTTTTGGACTATTTTTTGGACTATTTTTGGGACTGTTTTGTATGGGACTGTTTTTTTGTATTTTGCTATGTTTTTTCGGACTGTTTTGTATTGGACTGTTTTGTATGGGACTGTTTTGTACAGACACGAGTAGGAGAAATGGTCCACAAAAAGTATCGTCCTTAGGGCATGGCGGCAATTAGAAAAAGACAATTCAACGCAAGTCAATTTAATCTGGATTAATTGCTTTGTAGTTCCATCCATATCGAATCCCACATTCGCAAAAGCATGTCCGTTTGGTTGCTCTGTGCTTAACTAAATTAAATTACTTCGAGTTGCTTTTATTTTATAATTATATAGCAAATTAATCTGCGAAGAGTTGCAAGTGCTTGCAACACTACCGACTGTCGCCTGCTTGAGACGAATTAACGCCTCAAGCATCCTTAGACCTAGGCATCTACTAGGAAAACATTTCGAAGTCAAGATTAATGGTAGTCAAGGAAATGAAACTTGATGTACCCTCAAGCAATTTAATTAATTGCTGATTGAAGGTAATTAATTTGGTGCCTTTCGATTCTTTCTTAGACCTTTTCTCGGAAAGCAATCAAGGTTGAAATTGAAAGTAATCAAAATGTCAAAGCGAAGCCGCCGCTCCGAAGTAATTTCTTTGATCTACTCTCAGCCCTTTATGAAATTTATATTTCCTTTGTAAGTTTACTTGAATAAACCGGAGGACTACACCAGAGATGGATGTTTCTGAAGGCGCCCGGCATTTTGACATGTTTGCAGAAAAACTTTTTTGGGAGAATTCGGACCATCAAATTGGTCAGCTCAAATCAAAAGTTGACACTTTAGCAAAAATCAAAAGATAATCTGCAACCTCCCCTGGCTTAAATATCAGACCACCGCCAACCAAGTTTAGGCGTAAGTAATCGATTATAACGAATATTATGATGGTTTTTTGACAATTATATTTGATTATAATTGCCAAAGTTAGGTGTTTAAAGGATTTATAATTGATTATAATCGTGATATTTTCCAAGAGATAATAATCTCTTATAATCGAATATAATTTATTATATTTCTTACAAAAAACCCTTAAAATCAATTATAATCAATTACAATTTCTTATTTTGCCAAAATTTTGTCAGACCAAAACAATATTCGAGTTATATCTTATGGGTTATTAATTTTGTGTCATTAAGAAAATCTCTAAAAGAGAGATTTCTTGAACACTTTGGTTCATCTGAACACAAATTCTTACCACAAAACAAAAGTTTCACAGAGATCTTTTCATATTAGTGGAAAGGTTCTCGCGGTAGATGAAAAATAAATCTTCCGAATCAATCATGAAAAAAAATAAATTTGCTTTGGTGGTTAAAAAAATCTTAAAATATGCATCACAAAACAACTCTAATGGGGAAGAAATTTAAAAAAAAAACCTTATAAATTTGAATTGATCGGAAAACTTTAAAAACAATTTTCTGATTCGTCATAGGAACCAACGTCTACAAAAAGCAAAAAAAATAAGCAATTTAGATGCAACTTTGAAGACAAAATGGACTAATTAAAGGGGATTATAATCAATTATAATCGATTATAATGGATTTTTGAGCAAAACTAATGAATTAGAAATTTGAATAAAAATAATGGATTATAATCAATTGTTTCTCAATTTTAGTAAGACTGGTTCTAAAACCGTAATATAATCGATTACTAACGCTTGAAACTGGATGCGGGCGACTCATGGATTTATCCAAAAAAACATTATACTCGTTTTTCCGAATTAGGTTTGTTTTATGCAATTTCAGATAAAAAAAGCCGTTGTTCATTAATAAAAAAATTATATTTTTTTCTCATAAAATTCAATCCGAATCAAGAGATAAACTTTTAAGTGTGTTATTACATTCTTCCTGGAGTGGGCTTTTCTGTTGCCTGGATATTGAGATATATTACATAATCTTTATTCTAATTAACCCTCAATAGATATAACGGCTCTTTTTCGCAGGTAAAAATTCTTATTCAAATAATTTTTAAGAATTCACAAGTGGGGGGAGGGAGGAGCCGATATTACATGATTCTTATATAATCGCAACCCTGCATGAGGCTTTCATTATACTGGCATTTTATCATTGATTGACCCTTAAAAATTAGTTGTCCAATACAATTTGGATTAGTCTGGCGGGGATATTGCAAAAAGAGAATTCTTATAAATAATTTTTAATCAGAATTTTTACCGAGAGAAAAAAGCCGTTATACCTGTTGAGGGTTAATTCCTGAAGCGATATAAGATTGATTAATTTCGGGTTAATTTTCTTCAACCCAAAATTTTTTTGGTTTTATAGGTTAACTGTTAATTATTAGGTTAACTATTATGTTCGATTTGTAAGTCGCATATGCAGTATTTTTTTCATCAGTTTTTAAGTTTTTTTCCTCGAAATAAAGAGGTTTTTTTTTACACGAGGCTTCTGAATTAATGAGGCTCTTTTTGAAATAATTACACGTTGAATTAATTCTTCTATTCTCAAAAAACTGTGTTGAGGGCTTCAGCAGCTTAGACAAACACATACACTTTTTATACATGTAGTGTCTTGATTCTTTCAGAAGCTTCAGACAAAAAAAAACAAAGCAGCCACTTAAATGTCGAAACCAACGTCTAGACTCCTACATTAATCAATTAACATGTTGAGATAAAGAGTATCTTTATTAAAATCAGACGGTGTTCAATTTAGCTAACGAGATAGCAAGATTCCAACTAAAATGAGAAAGCACGAATCAACGCAAAGCACCTTGATAAGTGCAGATTGTTGCAAATGACCTTTCAATTGTGTCAAATTAATTTCCTGCTGACTTTTTTTTTAAATCCCTACCCACTATTATATATTAAGTGCTAATATTGCGTCTGGTCTTACATTTTTTGAACTGAACACTGTGGCGTACGCAAAAATTTTTCTAGGGGGTGGGCTGTTTTTCAAAAATTGAAAATTTTAATGACCTTTTTTTCAATCGACCAATTTGATTTTCCCCGAGCTCTCCGAAAATACTATAAGGACCCTGTGTTGTTAAAAGTTTTCTGCTCCTCAGGCAAATTTTTTAAAAACAGGCAAAAGGGGCACTTTTTAGAAAATGTTGACCAAAAATCGCGTTTTTTGACGCGCGTTTTCCCCTCAAAACTAGTTATATTGACGCCAAAAAACGCCTTCAGAAAAATTTTGAGGTTGGTCAGTCAAAATGGATGCCGTAAAGTGATACCAATCAAGGAAAACCTTTTGGAAAAATTTGGCGACAAGAGTAGAGGGGAGGGCAAACTTTTCCCGTTGTTGAACCACCAAGAACCATAATTATTTCAACGATGTCAAAAACTATTGTTTGTAATATAAATTTTGAGCACTACCAAGAAAAAGTTATTTTTTTTTCTGTCAGATTGATTCAAAAATCAAAATCAAAAAAGAACTTAATTCGCCTGAAATATTAATTATATTATCAATTTTTGATTAAAACAACTAAACTGTTGAACTGATTCTACGTTAAAACGCTGGGTTTCAAGCATTGTAATTAGATTATGATTTTGCAGACCTTTGAAAAGTGTATGAATATAGGAATATATCAAAGAGTAAGTTTTGAAAAATAAAAGCAAAATTTCTAAAATTTGTTCTCTGAACTTACGCAGAAAACCACTAATGATTCATTAGCAACTATGAGGCAGTACTTGAATTTTTAGTTACAATCAATTGAACAAATATAAGAACAGTTTTTCATGTTTCAAATTTGCATTGTTCCTGCATTTGTAAGCATTGTTTTGTCAAAATCTGATTTGCTTTGCGACGTCAATCCAGGACGCTTTTTGTTAGTTTCTAATTTCCTAAAGGTTATATTTCATGATTTTTACACTCTTTGTTCAGTAGTTTCCTCGGTGCCCGGCTTGCTGTCCATACAATAAAAGTGCCTATCACACAACTTAATATATGGAATCTATGGAAAAAAAAACTTTTTAAACAATTTTTCCTACAAGAAAACTGTAAAATAAGCGATTTTTTTAATCGAAACATTTTTCATTTGAAAATTATCTTTGATTAGCTTAAAAGAGAACAATATGAATTTGTAGAAGTTTTGACATGTGAGCAATTTTGGCATCAAAAAAATAGTTTGATCAAAAAAGACTGATTTCATAAAAATTCTATGATATGCTTTTTTTTCTATAGAAAAAATAAACAATTGAAGTTAAAACAAGTGTCTTCTTTGTTTTGCAAACTTGTTTGAGTGTAAATTTTTTCTGCCTGTTCTGATTGCAAAATTGTGATCAACTAAAAATTTTACAAAGAAATATGCATACAAAGTTTGAT